AGATTATAAATAAATCAAGGGAGGGCAAGTGTTGACTTTAGGGTTTTTAATATTTAATATCTGAACATTTAGCAGCTGCAAACTTCTAAACTCACATTTATTTATCTTAGAAAATGTGCACATTTTATTTTATCTGATGTCGTATTCTATGTTGAATGAAATATTTTCTATATTTTTATTATTTGTTGTGCTCGGGCAGAATGCTCACAATGACTCAGATGAGGCAGAAGTCAGCACTGCCCAGAAACAGAAGATCTCTTTCCTGGAGAACAACCTTGAGCAGCTAACCAAAGTTCACAAGCAGGTAAGAAAAGTCATCCTAGAAAGACTTTCACCAGCTTCTGAGTCTCAAGTTTCTGTGGGTTCATCCTCTGGTCTCACTCCTTCTGTCATCTGTTCGTGTCTCTGTAGCTGGTGCGGGACAATGCCGACCTTCGCTGTGAGATCCCCAAGATGGAGAAGCGCCTGCGAGCCACAGCTGAGCGGGTCAAAGCCCTGGAGACCGCCCTGAAAGAGGCCAAAGAGAATGCAGCCCGCGACCGAAAGCGCTACGAGCAGGAAATGGAGCGCATCAAGGACACTGTCAAGCCCAAAAACATGGGCAGGAGAGCTTCAATCGGTTGGTGGACACACATACACAAAGAAGACGCTCGATTTTTTAGACTAAAGACTAAAAACACCCGAAATGGGTTCAGCAATCGCATGCAAGTCGATTATTATATATAAAACTCTGAAGTAAATTTAAAGAGTTAAAGGTGGATTATATTCTAAGCCCACAGACAAGTTTTAAATCTTACATTAAAGCCAATTTTTTGTTAAATTTTTGACATTTTGGCAATTATGCTTATATGCTCGCTTGTCACAGTCAAGACAGCTATTGACAGGTCATGACCCTTCACCACTTAAAGGTCCAGTGTGTCAGATTTAGTGGCATAAATTGGATATAAATAATAACAGTGATGTTTTCATTAGTGTGTGATCATCTACGTTGTACCAATTGTTGTTTTCTGTACCCTATAAAGTGCCCTTTATATTTAAATAATATATATTTACGTTGGGAGAGGGTCCTCTCAATGGAGGTTGCCATGTTACCACAGATTCTCTCATGTTTGGAAGGGGAGGGTGAGGTGAGGGATATTCAGCTGCAACATGAGACTTCAACACTAGATGTCACTAAATTCTACACACTTTTATCTCTGAGTCCCTTTGTTTCCAGACTAAACTAGATTAACCCCCACCTGACACAGCTCTGAGAGTGGTCCAAGTGTTACATTTTGCTTTCAGGAAGACGACAAATATAAAAGTTTTCCCCCCTGAAATTCTGATCTATATCTTTAGACAAACCTGAATATGAGAAAATCTAATAAAAACTCTGAACAGCCTTCAACCAGATGGCCACAGCTCAACCTTTGCTCCGCATGTGACCCACATTTCCTTCTCTGTGTCCAACCCAGCCAAGCCCATCAGACCAGGTCAGCTGAGTGCTCCCCTGATCCCCAGCGTCAACAGGGCCAACCTCATCCAGAACAACCAGCCCACCGGCATCAAAGGAGGCAGTAACAACAGGCGAGAGAAGAATGCATCATTATCCATGATTACTCAGTTCCACGTTTATAACAGCTGATATAGACAGATAAGACTTCCAACCTTTTTTCCTTGTGTTTTCCTCTACAGCTGCTGAGGACGCTGATGGACCCCCTCTCCAATAACATGAAGCCAAGGACCACAACACTGATCTTCCACCTGGAATCACTGCACAATTCTTCCAAATTAAAAGTGCGTGTATATAGTGTACACTGATCTACATATGACCTGTCCTCTAAACAAAGCCTTCAACTGTACAAACACTTTACTTAAAGAAGACGCTATCATACTGTACAGTAGAGAGAGAGAGGGAGAGAGAGGACTGGTCCTATTCTCTTACCTTTCTTTTCTCTGGGGTTCCTTCCACTTTAGATTGTGAACGGGTTGACTGGGCCAAAAATAGTTGCAGATTAAAAAGAACCCATCTCTCTTAGTGACACCGTTCTGCATATAAATTGTTGTTTTGTGCGGATAACTAAAATGATCGGTTTCAGCCACTGATGTATTTACCACGTCCTGGTTTCTGTCAGATCAAAAGGAGCTGAGAGAGACTGTACACCTGACAACTGTTTCAGTATTCTCTGCCTTCTCCCTTCTTTGTACTTGACTGTTTTCCTGTGTTTGCAACCGTTTAAAAAAGCCACTAACTCATCAGCTTCCCAATTATTATTCATCACTGGAACAACACTCACGTCTTTGGCTCAGGGTGAGAGAGGCACAGGGTGTAGTTATATACAAGTGTTATTTATAAGACTGCAGGCAAAGGGTTATATGTTTACTTTGTTTGGAAAAGCATGAATTATGATTTAGAAGAAGAGGATGATTCATTTTCACATGTAAAACTCACAGCTCTGTCTAAATAACTGTAACCAAGTGCAAAGGTCTCGGATCAGCTGTTTTTGTTCTTTAAACTTCAAAAGGCAGTTGATGTTTTGCTGAAATCAACCTTTTTCATGCTTATGATGCTGTGTGTTCCACATACTCCCAGCAGACCTATGGAAAACTTAGGTTGTCAATTTTTTTTATTCTAGACACAATAAATTGAAACTTGAAAGCTGATTGTGACATGGGTATCTCTTTTGTCATGTGTGAAGTTGCAGTCCAATCAGAGAGCTCTTGTGAACATGAGAGACCTTTTTTACAGCAGACAGTTCGACTTTTAGTGGTAGAAACACCATATACTGCCCTAACAATGACTTTATTCTGTCCAAGTGTCCCAGTAAACCACGGCAGTACCAGAACAATGAAAATGTCCTTCGTGAAAAAGGCCCATTGTGTCTGGTGAGGACTCGCATGTTCCCAGCTGGCTTGCAGATAAGGGAGTTCAGAGACTGGGAGGAGTCTCCATCAATATACAAACAAACAGTAAATAGATGGCGGATACTGTACATAGTAAATACATATTTTCACCTCTTCCAAGGAAGAGATTATGAGGAAGTTAACACAAAAACAACACAACGGATTACCATGCAACTTGGTGGAAGGATGTGGTATTGGTCAGGGACGAACCCATTAACTGGTGCTGGTGCAGATCAGGAGGTGGATCCAGGAATCACTTTCTGTGACATATTAAGCTGTTTTTGTTGACTTCCCTTGAGAGTAATGCATGGATCTGGATGGAAACAGTCATATTTAAAGGACTGATCTTTATGAGTCTGTGCAATGTGGTGCAGATCCAAATAAAAAATCTGGGTCTAGTGAATTTAAATGTGGTTTCATAAGGAGACTGTTGGGCCATGGCAGAGGTATGTACTCTACAAAGTGACATTCTAGTTTAAATGTTGGTGGACATTTTTAGATGTTTTAGAAAATAGATACAAAAAGCCTAACACTCTCAATTTAAAGCTGCCAATGGGTAATAAATGGATGAATTAATGTAGATAATAATCTGTGCAGGTTGTTTCATCTTTCTTATCTTTTTAACATATGTCAAAACATGCACATGACGTGTCCAGACTTAACGAAACCCACTCTCCTGTTTGTCACTTCCCTCCTCGCACCAGCAGGACGCGCTTTTACGCACACACCCTCTGCTAATGCAGAATAAAGAAGTGATGTGATCAGATTCTTGTGTTGTGTTGCTGTTCATGCATTATTCTGAAATAATGTAAACTCACTATCTTATTGCCCGAGGCTTCATTTAATGTGCTCCTGTGTGTAGTCTTCGGAGTCTGCGCCGCTGAAGACGCGCCGCTGTGTTCCTGGATCATCCGAGCACTAAATCATTCATGATGCTGCATGCTGGATGCTGTAATTGCCTAAAGAGGAGCTCGGCTAAGGGGTGGAAGTGAGGGTGGGGGGGGCTACCTTTGCATGTTTATCCTACAGAGCCCAATTATGTTGTGTGGCTTTGACCAGACGAACATAACAATCGTGACAAATAATAGTATTTGCATAATAAAGGGGGCTTAGACAAAACAAGTGGAATAATTTAAACTATTCCAGGTGATGTCTTTGAAAGGACTGTGGGATCAAAGGACCATGGGTGTTAGCGGACAGGGGATAGAAACGCACCGCACAGTGAGGATGTGTGCGGGAGCGACATGCACGCGGCACTGGGCGCCGTCTATCAGCAGTGACAGACAGTAGATGCGGGGCTGAGAGCGAAAGTCTGCAGAGCACTACTGCGACAGCCGGAATAGAAACACACGGACTACAGCCGGAATTAGGTCGGGCCACTCCTTCACAATAAAAAACATATTGGACATATGAGGGCAAAATGTGGAAATATTGTGAGTGCATGAATTGAAATTCTTGACAATGAAGCAACAGTTTATAAAGATGTTGCTCGCATTAATGCACTGTTTTAATATATTCAATCAAAGTTGTGTATGCAACTTTGAACACGTTTCTTGTTCATAGTTTGACATCTCTTGTATTTAGGCTTATTTGTTGTTCTATTATATTAAGTACTTTACTGTGTATTCCAGTACTTTATTGTACATCATTTACATAGGGAGTTTATGCAGTTTTAAGTACATTTTTTATATTAATTATGTTCTATTTTGAGCTATTTTAATTCTTTATATGTGCAATGCGCTTGGCTTGCTGCTGTAACACGATAATTTCCAAATCTCTCTCTCTATTTCTCTATCTATCTAACTATATATCTATCTTTATTTGCCATAGCCGAAATCCTTGTAGAGGAGTGGGTCATTCCAACAACACACAACAAGCAAATATATAACAGGATTCCAGAAACAAGATTTTGCATTTGGCTCAGATATCGGCTGCAGACTCTTCACACAGCAATAAATATTTTTGACCCAAAGACGTCCATTCAACCATCTGTGCTTACAGTCAATAATCAAAGTCGAAAGCATAAGAAAATGTGATAATGATTTTTTCTGCTCAATAAAATATTACGATCAGCCCAAATAAAATGACTTCTTTTTTTTTTTAGATGATTTAATGGCATGGTCACACGCTTTACTTTGAAAGTAATGACCGGATGTGTGTGGTGTCGCCACACAGGAACTTGACAGCCCAGGGAGGAGGAGCGGGTCTGCTGAGGACTGAAGCCCGAGCTGCACGCACTGAAGCGGGCAGTAAAAGTTAGCGCTGTCCGTGTCTCCGGTGGTCACAGGAACCAGCCGCTCGCCGCTGGAGTCTTTTTAAAGGTCGGTACCGTCCCGTGTGTTTTCTGCTGGCGCCTCTCTCCCTCCCCTGCTCGGCGGGAGGCTGCTGGCTTGTGTCGGACTTACTTTGTTGCTATGCACGCTGCCGCAGGTCGGACGGTTTGTCTCCGAGTGAACCTGCTGCTTTTTCTTCCTCCTCCGGGGAAATAACCAACATTTCAGCAGGAGTGTGTTGTTGTTGTTGTTTCCCTCGTGTGTTTATTATCTGACGTGTCGTGTGGACAAACACTCCACGTGATAAGCATCAGTGTGTGTGTGTGGCTCAGTTTCGCGGAGCTTTTATTTCCCCTCGCGGTGTGTTCGGCTGTGTGTCGCCGCCCAGAGGGGGTCTTCCTCCGGGCTGGCCCGGCAGGTCTCTACCCTCCCCTCGCTCCTTCTGGAGATCCTCGGCGGTGAACCCTTTGTCGCAGATGGGTTAAAGTCCTTTGTGTTGTATTCCTGCAGCAGTCTAGTGTGTGGGGCTGGAAGGGACCCTGCCCCCCACCTATGCCCTCCCCTCTCCCCTCTCCTCCACCGCCGCCATCCGCCCCAGGCATGCCGCGCTGTGTCCGCACAGACCCCCACGTTCTGTGCACGGTTTGTTTCCAGGGGCACGGTGCGCAATGAGGGGGGCAGTGTGTGCATGCAGTGCTGGTGCACAGATGCAGCAGCAGCGTGTGCGGGGCGCAGATGGATTGAAATGCAGCAGAAGCACATGTTGGAGTGGATGCTGCTCGGCCACATCTGTTTTGAATGAAGCACAGGGACAAAGGCAGTCCGAGTCTCAGGCTGCTCTGCAGATGTACGCAGACAAAAGCTGGGGTCGTGATCTCTGTGTTGATGTGTGCTTTGCTTTTCTTCAAGCTACTGACCAGATTGATGAGTGCGTTGCCATCCATCCAGTATTGCAAATATATCCACATGATAACTTAACGGGTCTGATTTCAACACGTTGCAGGTGGCATCACACATATTTAGTGGAATAGTTTTACCAGATTTCTGTGGCAGGCAATCACATCTGGAATCCGTTTTTCTCACTGGCTGGTGTTTTCTATAGAGCCGCATATCTGCCTACAAATCAAACTGAATCCAGTTGCTTTGCATTCAATGTAACAGTATTGATATAGCAACAGAAACATATATAGTCAGAAGATAATCATTGGCATGAAGCAGTGACATTTAAATAGTTAGCAAATTAATTAAAGGTTAATTATAGGGTGGGAATTATTATGAAATCTGGAGTGTTACAGCATTAACACGCGTTGTGAGTTCATGATATTAAATATCTCAAGGAGCCCTTGGGCCCCACACCACCAATCCATTCCCAAATATAAAAGTATGACATCATAGCTTTGGTCCACACAGACAGACATGCAGTAGCTGTTCACTGCTGAGCTGAGACAACTTGTTTCTACACATGAGCGACACCCTTAGAGTCTCAAAGGAGCAACAAGTCAGCTGCCGCTCTCCTCTGAGACCTCACTTCGGTTGACGAGGACTCATTTGCGGTAAGATTTACTCTCTCTGGTCAGAAGTGTGGCAGAAACTCTGCAGCAGATGAATCAGAGAGTGGGGACAGCGGAGTCGTAATGTGTCTGAGGAGTCACTTTTAATAAGAGAAACAGCAGTTTTGTCTTTGTGACTCAGTTGTGGGGCCACTGCCAAGGTGACTGATGTCTTGCTTGATTCCCAGCTACTGTCTGGTCACTGATGTTTCTCTTGGCTGTAATGCACCTCTAAAAAGACATTTAAACTAAATCCACATTTTCTTGTTTCATGCTTACTTTTTCTTTTGTCAACACTTTGTGAAGCTGTCTATGAACTGTCTCTGGCTGTCCTGGTGTCTGTCTGGGAGCCTTAATCTTAAAAAAGACGCTAATGGTATGAAGAGGATTGGCGAGTCTGGTAATCTCAACAGATTTGCACAGATAAACAATGTGACTGTCTCACACAATGTCATTTATCACAGGTTTTATGCTTTTACAGAGACAACGGTTCACAGCTGAAATCACAGAAGCACAGTCTTTATTTATGTGTTCAACAGGCAGTGACACTGTGAACTTGCTGGGGGGAGGTCACGACTGCTGCTGTCGTGCAGCATCATTGATAGCGCTGTTATCATGTGCGTGACTTGAAGCCCTGACAGAGTCCTGACTACATCCCTGGCACCTCTGATGATAGCGATTCCTCGTACGCTCACGAAAACAGACAGTCATTCATAAAGGCCTGTGTGCGTTTGTTGACATCATGGCTGAAGCTCGTACTGGGACAGGCCCAGACGGGGCTGCCATCCGCCACACACATTAAAACCTCAGGCACGATGTAACACTGCATGTGTGTGATTCATGGAGTTAAAAACAGATTAAACACAAACTATTCAAGCCCATTATGAACACGCTGCTTCTCACATGGGCTCCCACCCTGGCTCAGACGGCTCTCGCCACCGTAAACTTATTCTGGGTGTGTAGCTGCCAGTCTGAGAGTGTGTACGTATTCCTTTACATAAGGATGGACCCCTTATAGATTCAGTACCGCGTTCTCATGCTTCACTAAAAGCACCTGCTCTTCCAGGATGCAAGTCCACGGCGGCTGCTATTTCAGGGGGGAAGACGGAGAATTTGATCTGAAGGGAGACGCCGCTCAGTGGCAGCCCCTCTGCAGTGGGAGCACCCTGGTATTTATTTAGGTTAACTGATGAAGGGATACTCTCTGACAGACGGATCAATGACAGGCCTCATCCCAAAACAAACTCTGCAGGAATGGAGAGGGGCCCAGCTGTCTTCTGTCTCACACACACTGTGTATGAAATATTGAGAAGATCACCCCCGATCTTTAAAAAGCCCTCTGACTGTGTCTCGTAACTGCATTAATGAGTAGTGGGGTCAAACGGCAGAACTGGACTCTATGAAGCGACGCGCTCTATTTTTGGTCGCAGCGTCTGAGGGAATGTAAGCTCAAGGGAGTCATTGTGGTGACTGGATCGCACGCAGGATCAGTGTGTGGGGGTCATGTTGTCATCACCCCTAGCGCCGCAGAGGGTGATCAGGTTACCAGGCTGGATATCCTTAGCAGTGGTGTAGGTTCCCAGAACAATCAGAGTTGACTGTGGGTTGTGGTTGATCGGAGGGAGGAGTCGCCCTGTGGTGTTCTTCAACTGACTACTCACCAATAGAGTATGTCTGTCTGGAAGTGGATTCATGTCCATAATGTGGGGGTATAACGGCGGAAGCCCTTTTGTGGTTGAGGTGATCAGATGAGTAATAAGGTGAGCTGGGAGCATGTTTCTGTGGTTTGGTGGGCGTAGGTTCATGTGTCTGAGCATGTTATAGAGCTTTAAAATATAGCTTGCGGTCTCATCCAGGGGTTGTGTTCTTTGAATATGTTCTGTCATTAGTAGGGTTTTAACCACCGCCATGCAAGGTTATGTTTTCACCCTGTCTGTTTCTTAGTCGGTTTGTTTTTTTTGTATGCGAGAACGCTCAATAATGAGTGGATGAGAGATGTATTTGACATTTTCATGGATAATTCATGGATTTTGATGAGGGGAAAAAATCTGGCATATTTAGGAGACTGTCAGTAACCACATGTAGACCTTTCTGTTCTGAAGTGGCAGTTGTAATTGTAGTCACTAGTGTGGCAGCTGGTTCAGCCTTCATTAAAAACAAATTAGAATCAGTGTAACTTCTTATACATGTTTGTTTGTTTGTTCACTTGTTTTAGTGCACTTCACTGTCACTGCAAAGAAACAATTATATTACTTGCTTTGAGCGGCGTTGACATTGGTGACTGCAGATTCTGTCTCTGTCCCTCTTCTCTCTGCAGGTCCTGATAAATGTATAATCTGTGTGGTTCCTCTGTTTATTATTTTGATCAAGTTGTTTTTTTAAATTAAAATGCAATTAACAAGCATGTGGCACATTAAAAGAGATGCAAATTAAACATTTCAACATTAGTTTGTGACCCTGACTTCAGTCTGACAAACAATGAGAAATTCTAACACCCTCTGTTCTTACCTGTCTTCTCTCCTGCAGCCTAGCAGTTCCCCCAGTCAGACATGAGGAGCCCTCCAGGCCTGGGTCGCTGAGCAGTTGAGGTCAGAGTTCAAGCGCTTGTTCCGGCAGTCATGGCTGACAGAGAGGGACTGCCTATTCCCCCAGGCCAGGTCTACATCGAGGTGGAGTATGACTACGAGTACAAGGCCAAAGACAAGATGGTGGCTATCCGCCAGGGGGAGTGCTACATGCTGGTGAAGAAGACCAATGAGGACTGGTGGCAGGTGAAGAAAGAGGAAGGCACAAAGACCTTTTATGTGCCAGCGCAGTACGTCCGGGAGGTGCGTCGGGCGCTCATGCCCCCTCAGAAGCCCAGCTTGAGGGCCAAGCCCACAGTTTTGGATATTTGCCGGGCGTCCAATGAAAATCTCAACAGACCCCAACCGGAAATGTCCAGCTTTGGACGTCCGTCACCTTCATCCACCCCGTCGCCATCCTCTGATCGCGTCACGCCACCAGCTCTGCCCAAGGATGCTAACCAGAACCTGGGGAGTCCCCTTCATTGCAAGGTGGTAGCTGAACTAGTACTTCTTCACAACAACAATAACCATCACCACGGCAACAATGCCACGTTGCCACGGACACGGGCTGACTCGCCTCCGCTCAAAGTGGGGAACAACCACAACAGAAGTCCAGACGGTGAAAAGACCTCCCCACCAAGCGACCTGCCGGGAGAGGGGCTGAGCAAGTTCCGTAACGACTCCGAGTCTGGGGATGAGCTGAGCAGCAGCTCAACAGAACACATGCAGGTAAGTCTTTTTTAAAATGGCTTCCCTTCAGATCTGCTTCATTTGACGCATTTATATTTGTTATTTGCGTTCTTTGGTAGTTTGAGGAAATAATCTACGCAGAAATCAGTCTGTGCCAAAGTTAGTAAGGGCAGCAAACACAATGCAAGTAGCTCCTTTACTTTCTGTAGACTACTTACTCCCTTGAGCACCACTAGTTTTGTCTGTCTTTGTGTTCTCAGTCATGCCCTTGGTTCCTTTCCCTTTCTTTCATTCGCTCCTGCTTTATTTCCCACCCTCTGCTTATTTCACTCTTTTCTCTGGGGCCAGCTGCAGATAACTGCCCTTGTCCCAATCAGTTTCTGCCATATGGGCTGTTCAGAAATCACATTTGTCTTCTCTCACAATTTCTTTGCAGACCTACATCCATCCATCAGCTCCAACACAAGTCTGCCTAAAACCATTTTGTGCCTCATTTGCCACGTTTGACGAAAAAAGCTGCAACAGTTGCAGGTGCTTATTAAAATCTTCTACTGTTGCCCTTGAAGCACAATTTGTCTGGCTTGTACAGATGTGCATTTTTGGGGAGAACGGCTGTTGCAGTCGGGTTATTAAAGACTAAATGGTGCGTTCACAGCTCCACTGGTAAATGAAGGGCTCTGTAAATGGGAGTCTTCAGGTACATTTAATACAAGGAAATGCCAAACACAGCTACCAGGTTGTGTGGGTTTGTAGCTGTCACTTTATTTTTTAAACTTGCTGATGTTGTCCAGGAATGTGTGCAAATGTATTTTATTTCTGCTATTTGTATAAAGTGACAATGCTTTATGTGGGGCCCCTTCCTGATTCAGACACCCAAACATCCTGATTCTTCCTTCTTCGCCTCGTCCCTCCAGCCCTCACACTGACAACTCAGGCCCCCCCCTCACTTCCGAGGTATGTCCCATCACCCTGAAAGAGAGAGAGAATGGGTGAAAACTGCAGGAACTAGGTCTCATCCTTCCTCGTCTGCAGAGGAGGTAGATCAAAGTAGAAAAAGGAGATTTCCAGACAGTGGGAGTCCAAGCAGGATCGCGCTCATGAGCAATTTTTGGGAGGATGTGCTGTATCTAGGCAGGGTCGACTTGTTTGAAGGCTCCAAGTGCTGCTTGTGTTCTTTGTTCCACAGGCTGCAACAGCCTCCTCCACCATGGAGTGAACAAAGAGACACAGGCTTGAATAGAAACTAGGTCATATCTGCTGAGGATCAGTCTGAAGCCCCCCAGTTGCCCTGCAGTGGGGACCACTGCGTGAGCGTGTGTGAATGCCATGTGCAATGCGCCATGTGAAGGAAAAGAGGGTGAAAATAGAAGCTAACTTCAGAGGCCCCACATGTGCGACCTCTAAATGGTTTGTGGGTCAGAACTGACATATCCCTAAAGGCCCTATCAAGGCAAGAGAAGGGTTGTTTTCTGTGTTGCTGCTTGCCTTCTCCAACCTTTTTGAAATAATTTCATGCTTGTCAAATCACATAAGCCAAAATAAACACACATTTCACTCTCAGCCATTTGCATTTGTATGGGAAGCTCTGTGGAGTGTTTTTTTGTGAGCCTACAGTAGTGCTGGCAGGGCGGATAAGACTCAGACAGCAGACAGGATTCAGCCAAAACTCCCCGTGAAGCTCAGCGCTGGCTGTGGTCGCTGCGGCAGGTGGAACCCTCTCCCTCGCTCTTTTTGCTCCTTTGTGGTGCTCTGTTAGTTTGTCCTGTTTGGCTTGTTGCCAGGCAAGTGAATGACCCCGCAGAAAACCCAATTCTTTCAACTCCCCTACTTCCACCACTTCCTGTCATTGCTTGTGCGCAGGCAAACTGGGCCTTAGAGAGAAAGAGGGAGGATCATTCTGTGACAAGGCGGTATTGTTATGAGTTAGCCCGACTGATGCGATGTTTTTGAGGCTGCTTCAAAAGTAAGTTTGACAAATGGATGACAGCATAACAGCTGAGATTTGTTTGATCGGTTTGGTAATGAAATAATTGTGACCCAGATATGTTCTAACCAAGACATTTTACAGTCAGAAAAATTTGCTAAACTAAAAATGAGAAAATGAAACAGTACAAATTTAAACAGCAGTCTTCACTGGAAATGAAATATTGATGATGGTTATATTCTACAGGAAAACATCAGAACAGGCTAAAGTGTTGTACAAATCTAGTTTCTTATCATAAAGACACTGTAGTAGAGATGTTCTGATACCAGCACTGGAAATGCCTCTGATACTGCCAAAAAATGGCGAGTCGGGCATCAGCGAGCATGCAAATCTATGTACTGATCCAATATGACGTCTTTAAAGTATATTAAGTAGATAAAACAATATTTTCCTGTAAATCACTTCTTTGCTTCTTCTCCGCTCTCCAAAGCAGCAGTTGCGCTGCACTGCCACTGGCACATACTGTTTGTGGAGCTGTGAAAAATAAGTATTTTCCAGTAGTGTAGCGTTTGCCAGAGCTAGTTAAATGTCAGCAATTTAGCAATATTTCACGCTGGAAAGTTTAAAAGGTGACGTGAACCGAATGCAAAAATAAAATTTGGAGGGGTAGCTGTAGTTTTACCTATTACAACACAAGCAATCTCAAAGCTTTTGAAGAACCATCACACGTGGAGTTAACCTTAGCCAGGCTATTAAACAATGATGGCAGTAATCACTTTCCATACAGGGTCAGTATAGAATAGTTAAAATAAATTATATACATTTTTCTTTTTAATGCAATGGTATCGGATCAGCACTCTGTATATGTTATACACAAAGTCCTTATGGGAATCAGTATCAGAAATGTGAAAAAGGGTATTAGATTCAGGGTTCAGCGTAAAGCACTGAACCCTGAATTGCCGTGACAGCTGTGACTGATGTGTGATGGAAAGGTGAAAAGTGCTACATGAATGTGTGTAAATTTGACTTGTACTGTTAAGTGCTTTTAGTATGTGTTAAAGCTCTACATAAATACCTCCTTCCATAACCATTTACCAAAACTTGTATTATTTTTGTAATGACATTAATGAAGAATCTTCATCTGGATCTCAATAGGGAATATTAATAAGGTCAGTATTGGTTCCTGCACTAATTACTGCATCCCGAGCTGGTGCTGGTATTTTAATTTAGCTATACACTATGTCAGCTGAGAGACCGGATCTGGGCACCACTTCTTCTTCCTCTGTACGTTGTGGTTGTCACTTCAGCTGAGTAAAACAGCAAATATCATTCCTCAGTGTGAACATGGTATTGCTGAACTATGAATAGGACGCACACTTTTCTCTTCTGCCTTTGTATATTATTGAAGGTTAATGTGTGTGTGTGTGTGTGGACTGGAGACTAGATGGACCATGTAGCTGCTTTGAGACATGCACTGGACTCTGCAGTTCCTCTGTATTTTCTCCGGAGGAGGTGCATGTGTGACTGCAAATGTTCAAGGGAGACCGTAAACACGATCATGTTATCTCCGCAGCGGAGTTAATACGTCGCTTCCTGTCTCTGTCTGCTGCACCCGGCTGCTCCACTTCTCGCCTCTGAATAATTTCATTGATTTGATGCTGTTGTGAGCGCATATGTGCAGAAAACCTCCTGCTGTGTTGTGTATGTGTGAAAGACAAACTCTGGGTAAACTGTTGCAGATTCTCTGGATTGAAAATGACTTTAGTCTAAAAGTAGTTGGACAGATACATTTATAGTACCTGTTTTTATTCTAGGTAGCATACATTGATAAAAATAAAGTAACATCAGTAATAACAGGAACCACTGACATGAACTAAATATTTCACATATTATTCATCCCTCAATAGAGTTCAGCTCCAGTTTCGGGCCCTCCTCAGGCTTATACATGGTCTTTGACAAGAAGAGGAGGAATTGCTGTATGAATGGACGGCTGGTTAGATGTATGAATTTGTTACTGATGTGACTGGACTCAAGTGCCAGCTGGCCACCTCTAATTGATTCGATTTGATCTGTGGGTGACGTCTCTTTGTCTCGCCTTGCTTTCTATTTGTAATTTGCTTATCTCTGGGGCTCTGACAGAGACTGAGGGTCCACACCTCACCTCCTCAGCACCATGAGGGGTTGGCGGCGTTTGCGGGCACACAGCTGTCCTCCTGTCCTGAACCCTGTGTAGTCACCACTTGCTCTCCTCAGCACCATGAGGGGTTGGCGGCGTTTGCGGGCACACAGCTGTCCTCCTGTCCTGAACCCTGTGTAGTCACCACTTGCTCTCCCCCATCCCTGGTCTTATAAAGGCACAGCTCCTATGCTCTCAAAGGATTGTTTTCCTCACTTTTCAAGAAGCAGGCGATAGGATGTTTGTTTTTGTTAAAAGAATGTGGCACAACATATGATTTAAAGCCTGTTTTTCATTTAAACATATTGGGTTTCTCCCAGGCTGCGTTGCCTGTTTAAAAACACAACAGAAAAACATGACCACACAGTCTCTATCACCACATAGGAGGTTATTTTGAGTTGGTTTATTCTGGAATACCTTTACTCATATCTTCTTCAGAATTGGTTTAAAGGCTTTTGATGGGCTCCTTTTTTTTTTCTAAAGTCCAAAGAGCGGATGACGGCTGCCCTGTGGGATTGTGTGAGAGGCCAGATTGTTGTTTTCCTTCTCTGCGAGTTGTGTCACCGTCACTGAGGGGGAGATGTGACGGCATGAAGTGTTTGTGTCTGTGGGTTTCCACCGTGGGATGCCCAGTTCTCACTCACTGTCTGATTAGAAAGACGAAAAGAGGCCCCTCCTACGCTCCAATCTTTACACTATCTCACACAATCTCACTGCAAAAACAAGGTATCAACTACTGCGGGACCCTCTTCTTTCTTACGAAGCTCTGACACATTCAGTTGTTGAGTAACTCCTGGTAGTCTGTATCATACAGTGCTCCGTGTCAATAATAGAACCACTGATTCCCTGAGATTTCAAGCTGGATCAGTCACTCCGCTGAAATAAGCCGTCTTCTAGCGTCTTGTTTGACAGAAATCTCCTCTGAGTTCCACTTCAAGG